AAGCGGGCCTGACCTAGGGTGAATTTTAAATAGGGATAATTTTTAATGATTTTAAATAGTCACAGCCACTAATATTTGGATTTTAATTGGTTTTTAGAAGGGGTAATTCTGTATATTGTTTTAACATGCTGTGAGCCGCCCTGAGTCCCATGGGGAGAAGGGCGGCATATAAATTTTGTAAAATAAAATAAATAATAAAATAAATTGAACTGCATTAAACTTTTAATAGTCTACCAGGAAAAGGTTCGGCGTTCAGCGACACCAGATTCTAGAGAGCGTCGTTTTTCCCTTCGTCCATTCTCTGGCCTTCCTTACGGCAGATATGGGGAACCTACAGGTCTCAAGCGTGGCACGCGACCCCAGACCTCCCCTTTTCACCTGTCGGAAGAAGAGGAACGTTTAGCGGAATAATTAAACTCACTATATTTCATTTACATTCAATTTAAATTAAAAGGAAAGGTACCGAGGGGAAATTAGCAGACATGTGTTAGAAGGGCAAGTCCTGCCTCTGGAGACACTGTGGCTGTACATTTCTCGGCCACAAAAACTCGTACAATGCTGGATTTTTACCCCGGGAAACTCTGTTCCACCTGGCAGCCATGAACGGTGTCGTCAGGAGGCGACTTGCGTTTTGGGAGATACTGAGAAGGAAAGAGGTGGATGGATGGATGGCTGTGGCACAAACTGCACTGCAAACAAACATTCCGTCTCTCTCTATTGAGAACTGCGTATTAGTCAAAAGTGGGAGGTTAACAGGAAAGCTCTTTTTCTCCTTCTGCTCCTAACAGGGCACCAGGATAATAAGCAGGTATCCAGACTGTACCCAGAGGGTCTCAGCACAGACCACCCTATCTCTAAATAAGAAATGATGGAAAGCACCCATCGTTGCTTTAAAGCCAGGATTTAAGAGAGCCCCATCCCCCAGACTAGGTGATAAGTACAATTAGTCCTTGACTTACGGCCACAACTGAGCTCAAAATTACTGGGGTGGAGAGAGACCATTTACTAAGTGTCCCATTTTACGACATTTCTTGCCACAGCTGTTAAGCGAATCAATGCAGTTGTTAAGTTAGAACAGTGGTGAGATTCAAAAAGGTGAACAACCGGTTCTCTGCGTGGATGCCACTTCCGGAAGTCCATTCTGGGCCTGGGCAACAAAAAGCTAGCTACCAGTTCTGCCGAACTGGTGCGAACTGGCTGAATCCCACCACAGGGAAGGAAGGAAGGAAGGAAGGAAGGAAGGAAGGAAGGAAGGAAGGAAGGAAGGAAGGAAGGAAGGAAGGAAGGAATTCAAATAGGTGAACAACCGGTTCTCTGCATGGATGCCATTTCCGGAAGTCCATTCTGGGCCTGGGCAACAAAAAGTTAGCTACTGGTTCTGCCGAAGTGATGCGAACTGGCTGAATCCCACCGCTGAGTTAGAACCAGGTTAATCTGGCTTTCCCGCTGACCTGGCTTGTCAGATGGGTAGCAAAAGGGGATCACATGACCCGGGGATACTGCAACCGTCATAAAGATGAGTTCAGTTGCCAAGCGTCTGCATTTTGATCAATGTGACCACAGGGATGCTGCAACGGTGTGAAAAAAACGGTCCTACGTTACTTTTTCTAGTTCTGTTGAAACTTCAAATAGTCGCTAAACGAACCGTTGTTCAGTTGTGGACTGCCTGTACTTGCTCAGATCAATGAATACTTCAATCTCCTGTTAGCCAAGCTTCCCTGTGGAACACTGGGGGGTTTACATCTCGTTTCTTTCTTACGTCAGCCCAAGATTCGAAAGGGTCTTTTTTGGCTCAAAACTCAGTGCGAACCTTGAAATGAATGTTTTTTGTTTTTTTTAAACTGCATACATTTTTTTTTCTGAAGAAGGCTTCAATTTTTTTTCCTTCTTCTTCTCCCCCCCCCTTCCTTTCAGCGCACTGTCCGAATAAGGTGTTGACGGCAAGAACTGGAGAGTTCTCCAGCCCCAATTATCCCAACCCGTATCCTAAAATCTCCGAGTGCAGCTATAGCATCCGGGTGGAAGACGGTTTCATGGTCATCTTAGAATTTGTGGGGATCTTTGATGTAGAAGCCCATCCAGATGTACTGTGTCCTTATGACATCCTGAAGGTCAGTGGGGTTCGCATTATAGGTCCTCCGTGGTAGAAATTTGGATTTTTCACATAGCTCTATTTAATTCACTGCAGGTAACTAACACAGAGACCAGCTTCACAAAGCACCCTGGCATCATGATTAGTTGAATAAACTACAAATGGCTGGGTTCAAGATATGTTAAGCCCTAAATTACAGTTCACAAACATATCTATCTATCTAATTCTTTCTTTCTTTCTATCTATCTATCTATCTATCTATCTATCTATCTATCTATCTATCTATCTATCTATCTATCTAATCTCTTTCTTTCTATCTATCTATCTTTCTATCTCTTTCTCTCTTTATCTATCTTTCTCTCTCTCTTTCTCTCTTTCTCTATCTATATCTTTCTCTTTCTTTCTCTTTATCTCTCTCTCTCTCTCTTTATCTATATCTTTCTCTCTTTCTCTATCTACCTACCTACCAGCAAAGCACAAAAGAAACACAAAAGCTTTAAAACAACTGATAAAAATCAAAGAAGAAAATCAAAAAGACTTTCAGAGGCAAAAGTAGACAAATGACATGACAATCTAGTATGATGTGTGAAGCCAGTCAACGCCACAAGAAACCTTCAAAATAAATTAATATTTACAACATATTTCTATTTTACCACACTTGTGAGCCACGAGGTCCTGTCCACAGTGACCCGATACAGGCTTTCCAAAATTTAATCGAGAGGATTTCCCCAAAAACTACTTGCCACACAATCATTTAAATTTAAAGATGCAACCTGAAATAAATTTAATACTTGCCTTTAAAAAAACGATGGCACATTTCTGCACACCTTCTAAAGCCATTTCTTTCTCTACTGTAGGATCACACTGACAGGGATGCTTATGGAATGACACATCCTAAAACCATGCAGTACTTGTGTTACAGTCAATCCAATGAATTTCATACATTTTCTGCAGCCTCACAACAGACGAATTCTATTTGGAGGTGTTATCTTCAAAAGTTAACATATTTAAAATAAGATAAAAAGAAATTAAAAAATAATCGAAGAAGTTTCTTTCTTAAAATGGGGACATCAGACAGAGCTTCTCAGACTGCAATATCTGGATGTTGAATGCTATAAAGTGCCTATATTTTGTGGTTCTTCCAGATTAAGACACCCAAGAAAGAATTTGGTCCTTTCTGCGGCAATTCCCCACCTCCCAAAATTGAAACGCGTACCAATACGGTGGATATCACGTTCATCACCGACATTTCTGGTGTTCATGCTGGATGGAAGCTCAGATATCACACAACAGGTTAGAAGCGCAACCTGGGGTGTCTGCAGAAACTGAACTATACTAGAAAGTACAGGGATGTCCTCCATTCATCCATGAAGCAAATTAATTATGTTTGGAGAAAGGGGAGAAGCACGGTAAAATGAAGGCGGGGGGGGGAATGCAAATTTGAAATCCTGTTGTAAAGGGATACGGGTAGTCCTCAACTTACGACGGAGCCCAAAATTTATGTTAAGACATTTCTTAAGTGAGTTTTGCCCCGTTTTATGACTTTTCTTGCCCCTTTTGTTAAGTGAATCCCTGCAGTTGTTAAATTAGTAACACGGTTAAGTGAATCTGGCTTCCCCACTGACTATGCTTGTCAGGTCACAAAAGGGGATCACGTGAGCCCGGGACGCTGCGACCGTCATAAATATGAGTCAGTTGCCAATCGTCTGAATTTTGGCCCCGCGACCATGGGGATGCTGCAGTGGTCATAAGTGTGAAAAACGGTCGTAGTAAGTCATCTTTTTCTCAGTACCGTTGTAACTTCAAAGGGTCACTAAATGTTGTAAGTCAAGGACTGCCTGTGGTTACGTTGACCCTCAAAACAGCAGCATTTAAGATCCTTTTGAGGCAAGTTATGCCAATTGTACCAACAGGTTCACAATACAGATGGTTCCTGAAGCAGTTGCAGTGGGGCCAATGATACAGCCCCTACGTTGCATAGATTAAATTTCCATTCAAGCTAGGAAAATTAATAGAACAGGAATCCGAAATATAGAGTTCGGTAAGAACTGTGAGATGATTTAATTGTGCTTTGCCAAAAAGCTGGAAATCAGGACTGGGTTTTTGTCTTTTTTTCCCCGGTATTCCAACTCTGCAGCTTTGCCATGTCCCAATCCTCAAGCACCCCCCAATGGCCGGATCGCCCCAGCGCAGGCAAAATATATTCTGAAAGACTTCTATAGCCTTTCCTGCAACGTGGGCTACGCGCTTTTGGAAGTGGGTAACGTTCTTAACAGTTTTTACTTCTATGGGTTGGCAACGATACAGATCGGTATAAATTTTGAGCCGTGGAACTTGGGCCGAAGCAGCTCCACCTGCAGAGATGAAAACACGATACATTATATAAATGCGTTTAATATTGAGCTGTTGTTAACCTTCCCCAGTTTGGGTCTTTCTGGTTGGGGGTGAAGGGACATCAAGCTTTTGCATTACACAACACTGTTTTTTTTTTTGACTTACTGTTTTTGGAATGGTTACCAACAAAGGCACTCTCCGATCGTGATACGAAGTCCCTGAAATCTTTCGTTTTTCCTCGCACAGAACAAACTGATTGTCAAATCCTTCAAAGCAACCTGTCAAAAGGATGGTACCTGGAACAAGCCAATGGCCCAATGCACCAGTAAGTCTTTGCAGAATTCACATGGCACCTGCAGTCCTCAGATACGTTCCTTGCTTCTTGTGGGAGTCCATATCAAGTCTGACCGGACAAAGCTCTCTAATGAAAATTGTGGGAGACAATTGTGCATTCGAATCTCAGAATCAAAATTGCCTGCTTTGAAATATTTTCAGCGGAGACAGATCAATATATATCCCAGTTTTCGCTGTGTATTTACTGCAAGGGAGTTAAAGCACAAAAAAATCTTTTTATCTTGCTTCCGTTCACCCTCTCATTCTTCTTTTAAAATGGGCTTCATGCTGCAAAACTCATTTGGGAAACACTTAAGAGGCAGAATGTGGTTTATTTTATTTATGAGCTAACTAAAAGAATTTGTAAGAATTAAATGCCTCTGGGTTGCAGACTCCTGGCTACAGATACTCAGAGCCTAAAATGTAAGTCTCAGAAAAAAAATGTCTTTGACTTGGGACCCACTTTTCTACTGCCTAGCCTGCCACTGTTTTTATCCTGACTTTTCTTGTCTGCATTCCAGTCCTTCAGACACTTAATATTTCTTCCTTTCCAGTTGTTGACTGCGGCCCTGCCAATGACATAGCGAATGGCACACTTGTGTATGTCACCGGAAGAGAGATTTCCACGTATCAAGCTGAAATCAAATATAACTGCAAAAGCCCCTTCTACTCCCTGAAAACCGGATACTCTGGTAAGAGAAATCTTTTCTGGCAAGTTTGCTTGAAAAAGCTCCCTGTGATCCCAGAGGGAGTTTTTCAAAGGGAACACGCAGACTGCAGCTCTCCAGCATTCTAGTTAGCAGGATCTTCTATTAATATTTTTTATAAACACTGAATTGTTGGGAAGGGTTTTTTTTGGGGGGGGGGTGTTCCTTGAAACATTCTGTAGATTTGAAAAGCTCTCCCTCTTATTTGACTGCCTCAATAGACACCCCCCCCAAAAAAAACCCCTTCCTAACAATTCAGTGTTTATAAAAAATGAATTCTGCCATCCTTGCAGTTTCACGAAAGCTACTCAAAAGATTGCCCCCTGTGCGAATGAAGTGCTGCTTTGGGGAAATTGTGAACCAGCACACGGAGAAAGAATTCTACAATTATGTGACAATCAAACAGTAAGAGGTGCTCCATTAAAAAAAGGAAAGCTGGGCTAGGGTCTTGCCTTAATTGCTCTGGTAGGGCACCGTGTCCGCACCTACTGAGTGAAAACTGCTTTTCAACATAAGGCATTTGTAAAACTGGTGGAGCAGAGAGGTAAGGATTCCGATATTGCTGTGCAGAGGCAGGCGCAAGAAATCGGGAGCCAGGGTTAGCTCCAAAATTAGTTTACTTCATGCTACCACGAAGCTAGAATCTATACTACTAACAGTCAAGGCAAATTGATGGTAGATAAAGAGTCCATGAAGTTTAAGGAGGGCTGGACTCTTATCTTGTAGGTGCAAAGGGACTCTGAACTGATGCCTGCTCAGCCAGGTCATCTCCTACAGGGGTTGTCAGTAAACTGCGGGATGCAAATTGGGGTCTTCCGGTGAGGGTTAGGACTGTATTTAAGACTGGTGGGAAAGAGCTGCCTGCAATTTGAAGCATGGGTGGCATAGCTCTTTACCAAGACTATTCTGTCTACACAGATAACTACCGGTGTGCCCCTGATGGTTTCTGGAGGGATCAAAAGGGAAACAAAGCACCTCCGGTCTGTGAACCAGGTAATATATATATGCAAGTGCTCTACAAAATTTACATAAGGATATGATCGTAGGCAAATGTCACCATTTCCTTGCTTCATGCTGCTTATCTGCTTCCTGACCTGCCAGCTGTGCATAATTGTGGTGTGTGTGTGTGTGTTGGTTTGTATGCGTGTGTAAAATCATAGGCATAAAATATTCCAGTTTTTTGTTTTTATCTCATGCGGATTTTTTTTCACAACCGTATAATCAAAGATGACTGAAAGTTATTTTTCATTAAGCGTTAACTATTTCACTTTTAACTGTACAAAAGAAACTATTGTAGGTAGGCACTATTTCAAGGCTAAAGACAGGGTATTACAGGCTTTTGGATGAGAGGTACGTGAAATATCCTTTATGGCAACCTTTTTTCAAAAAAAAAAAATCTCTCCAAGAACTTCTGTATTAGTACAAAATAATCTTTGTCTTTTATCTCATCAACTATTTAATTTGCCAATGAAACTGCACCATCGGGGGGGGCATCTGAAACAAAGCCAGTATTTGAAAAGATCAGATTGCACCACGTTGTTGCACGTTTTGTGTTACCAATAATAAAGCAGCATTCGTATATGTCAGGGGTGTCAAAACTGCCGGCCCATGGGCCGGTTGCATCATACGGAGGCCGTGCCCACCTCAGCTCCGGCAATGCAAAAAAAGTTGTGATACATCACAACACGTCACGTGACGCGGCGAATTTGACACCCGTGATGTATGTGGAGAAAATAGTTGAGCCATTCAGCACCTGGGAGATCTCAAAGCAAGACCACGCATTAAGGAAAAATGGGTATTTCCATACTTACGCAGCCTAGGTTTGTGACTAAGAAACATGTCTTACATTAAATGTTTTTAAAGCTGCAATAGATACCACCATGTTACAATGCAGCCGTAGCTTTGAACTTTGCTATGGGAAAGACAATGATAACCACCTCTTGAGGTAGGGGAAAGAGAAATCTCATAGCTTAGGGGTCAAAAGTGCTTTGCAAACCTGGCATCCACATTTCAACCACCACCACCACCACCACCACCACCACCCTCTCTGGAATTCCTTGTTGGGGCAGGGAAAAAAATGGGAAAATAAACGAGTTTGGAACACGTAATCCAACTCTCACAAGACACTTTTCTAGAACTTATAGACTGAGGCCGGGAGAATAAAAACTCACTGAACTAACAACAGTTTTGACTCGTATCTCCTTTCTCTTCTTTGCCAGTCTGCGGAGTCCAAACGTCTAACACTCTGAAGCGTATCTTTGGAGGGCAGAAGGCTCTGCTGGGCCAATTCCCTTGGCAGGTTTTAATCACTGATGCGCATGGAGCAACTGGGGGCGGAGCCCTTTTATATGATAACTGGATCTTAACCGCCGCTCACGTCCTCGGCAGCCCAGTTGACGCCTCCTCCCTGACCTTGAAACTGGGGCTCCTCAACAAGCGCTCCCCTCATTACCACCAAGTCTGGGCAGAATCGGTTTTCCTCCACAGTGGCTTCGCCAACGACGGCATCGACTTCGACAATGACATCGCTCTGATTAAACTGAAACACAAAGTTCCCGTTAACAAAAACATCACCCCGATTTGCTTGCCGGGATACAACCCCGGCTTCCGGGTGAACATGAACGACACGGGAATCATCGCCGGCTGGGGGAAAACGGAGCGGGCCCGGCAGTCCCGCTTCTTGCTGTATACCGAGATAGACGTTGTTGAGCCTGACAAGTGCAAAGCGGCCTACGCAAACCGGACTTTGGAAGGGAGAAAACTCGTGCTGACGGAAAATATGCTTTGCGCAGGAACTGAGGAGGGGGGAAAGGACTCCTGCTATGGGGACAGCGGAGGTGCCTTGGTGTTCTACGATACTAAGGCCAGAAGGTGGTTTGTTGGCGGTGTGGTCTCCTGGGGTCTGGAATGCGGTTCTGCTGGCCTCTATGGGGTCTACACTAAGGTGCCCAATTATACGCCGTGGATCGAAGACCTAATTGCACGCCATTCTTAATCAGGTTTTTGTTTGTATTTTTCAATAAAGCATAGAACACGGTTAGTTCTGTGGATTTTAATAATGCTCATCTATAGCCCCCCCTCCAAGCTGACTGGGGTTTATTTTGGAGAAAGAGCCACAGAATCCGATTCTACGCTGTGCAACCAACAAATCAAGCTTTTTCACCAAGGCGAGTTGGGTTCTTTGTGAATTTCTGATGACAAAATCTCAACTTAAAAATTCCACAGGGCCCCCCCAATTATTATGACCACGGCCCATTTTAAATCAAAAAGGTTCGTAGAAATCGCCCAGCCCAAATCTATTCATTTTTTTTTTCATGGGGTTAAAGCCATCAGTTTTTTCCTACCGTATTTAAAGACCAAACTTAAAGTCTACCATTTTAAAGTCCAAATCTTTTAACTCCACTGGGGCTAATCTCTCTCCCCCTCCCCTTGCATTTACATTTACTGAAGCTTATCTTAATTAGCTCAACCTAGCAAACAAGGAATTCCTTTATTAGCTACCGAAGAGTTGGAGGTACTATTCTCTTTTTATAAACAGACATCCCTGACAACTGGTGGGGTGGGAGGGAGGGAGAAAGAGTGTCAGGAGTATGCAGCCCATAGGAACAGGGCAAGAGCCCAGAGGCCCTGCTCATTCAGCTGTTAACAGTTTGGTCTCAACTGCTGCGATCAAAATGCTCCAAGATTTA